TATGACAATCTTTTTACACAAAAGATAAGCTTACGATACTATCCCACTCATGACTATTTAACTACTTTAGCTTATCCTGCCTGCACCAAGAAACATAAGAAATCTAGACTAATACACCACTTTTTTAACCTAACTTGTGGGCTTTCAATGTTTGAACTTAAGCAGAACCTTCCCAGATAGCGAATAATATGGAAACTGATAAGTTCATTCCAGGTATATTCCTTCTTTTTTAAATGAAAATTTCTTTCAGTTTTGTTGAATCCTAAGCTTACATTTGATATAATGGACATGATGCAGTAAAGTGTGGGTAAAGCCTTTTTTCTAGCCTACGTAACGTTTGAAAGATAAATTACTTAGTTGAATAGAATATAAATTACTTAGTCGAACTAGTTACCTTACCCAAGGTGGATACTAATATCACCTCATGAGAAATGAATAAACAATATCCATCCAGGTAAATAATCCTTTCAATTTTTTCTTTCAACCCCTTCTTTGACAAAAATGCTACAACCATGATTCTCACCAGCCTTACTGTCGCTATCACCACCATCCCATTGCCATTTCCATTATCACTGCTACCACCCCTGCTATCTTCACCATTGACACTGCCACTGCAAATACTGCCATCACTGTCATTGTTACTGCCACTACTGCCCCAATCGCACCACTACTATTGCCATAACCACCATCGTTACCATACAAATGGAAATTTCAGAAAATACTCCATCACGAGATATCAAAAGATCAAAATAATTAATTAAAAATATCATGAAAATCCATGGCAGAGAAGAAATGGTTGAGATTGCCAAGAAACAAGAACAAGCCAATCTGAAGAAAGAATAGACGAACCAGAAGTAAAAGATCATTCTTCAAAACTGAAAGAGCTGGTAACAAGTTCCAGAAGGCGAGCATCTTCTCTAAGACCTCAAACTCATTCTAACCCCATTGAACACACTCTACTCATCTTACTTGGCCCATCGGTCTAGAAAGAAACATCGCAAACTATTTCATTACTATTCCAGAAAGGACTATTCCTTAATCTTCAACCATTTCAACCCTTAGCAATGAACCCAAGACCAATGGCCACCACCACGCCAAGCAGTTAACATCTGTAAACTACCGACAAGATGTACAAAAATCGAAACTGTGCCAAATTTTGCTCTACAAATAAGATCATCTCTTCCAAATTGATGCCATCCCATCAGAACCAAAGGTTCTACCAAACCTACATGCAGAATTAAATATCCCCCGATTATCCAACGTGGCTTGAATATTCTAAAGACCACCAGATTCAATGAGAATGCTCATTGTGATTCATTGGTGGAATGAAGGTCCAACAAATGAGAAATCAATTTAAATGATGATATAGTGAGGCTACCTGGGGGCTATCAAGTGAGTATCTTTTCCATAGATCTCAAACAAGAAATCCAAAAAATGGTTCAGATGAAGGAACCTACTAAATTGGCACAAGCAAGATTCTCACAGAAACTATAACAATTATTTGATGACAATTTTTCTTCCATCAACAAGATGTGCTTACCACCACCACTACCATTCAAAAAACCCTACGTCAAAACATTAATTTGAAACCTGAGTTACCTGGATATTAGCGTAACTGGTAAAGAAGTATATGCAAAAAAAGAAGTTAGAAATGAACGTTTCTACCGTGAAGGTAAACACCTGGACATCAATACACGAAAAAGCAAACATATCCAATTACCATTGATATGAACAGGATCAAGATTAAAAGGAGGAACAGCCTGCAGAAACCATGACCTCCTTGATTGATAAGCCAAGTGTATAATTACATGCTATTGGACGATGCCAGGACTTAGAAACCTGTGACACAATATGGTTTGCTAGTGAATGCAATAAAAACTCTCTTGATATCTAGTTAGACTCGGGCAACACTGACAACATTTTGGATGCATCCGCAGCCAAGAGACAGAATCTTAAACTCACTTCAACTGGGCCACTAAAGGTCACTGTAGCCAGTGGTCAAGAAATCCGGTGCACTTGCTAGTATCGAAAGCTCCATTGGTCGATTAAAGGTGCTACCTTTACTGCAAATTTCCTAATCCTCAAATTAAGAAGTTATGGCACAATGTTGTGAGTCCAGTGGTTCAACAACAGGACCTCTTTGTTGGAACTTTGAGAAGCAATTCAAGGAGTTTACTTTACTATGAAAAAGAATATTGACTACTAGACTCTGATACTGGCTAAAAAACAATGGGAACTTTCTGTTGGAACTTCGAGAAACAATTCATGAAGTCTGCTTTACTTTAAAAAAAAAGATATTGACTACTAGACTCTGCCAAGCAAATAAGCAAGGAAGATCAGAAAACGATGAAAAATATGCCTACCTATTTTTTTCTAACATAGAAAAAGAAGTACTATTGAAAAGAGAAAGCTACCGAGTTCCTTAGCGCTATTGTGGAGCTTTGCAGCACCACAATTAGTCACACTTCCAAAGATAACCTTACTCTGTTGCCACTAACTAGTCTTTACAACAAACCACAACACCTAACTGCTTTGCAGAACTTTTTCTTAATCTGATATCCTTGAAGAACTAACTAGATTACCCCCCCCCAACCAAGCCACCAAAAAAACAAGATAACACATGGAGAATGTGCATTGATTACCGAGCACTGAATCATCTAATGTCAGAGATAGATAATATATAGCTTTGCTTCTCTCCAAGATACTCTCACGTGCAGGTTATCACCAATTCCTGGCACCCATATGATTGCCTTCGATGGTCACTATGAATTTCTTGTTATGCCATTTGGCATAACATATAACCCCTCCACATTCCAAAGCCTTATTATTAATATGTTCACGCCAGTTCTCAGAAAACTTGTTTCGGTATTTTGGGATAATGTACTCACTTATAGAATGGAAGACCATATTGTTCATTTGAGAAAGGTTTCATCATGTTAAGGACCAGCGCTTTACTTGCCAACTGCAGGAAGTGCACCTTTCTAGGGAGCCTGCTAACTACATAGGCATTTCATCTAGCCTCTCTGCCCAAGGTCTTTCAATTGATCCAAAGAAGCTGAAGTTTTCTGTAACTGGCTAGTCCCAGCAACAGTTAAACAACTGTGCAGACTTTTGGAAGCTGCAAGCTTTTGTAGGCACCTCATCTAAGGGTTTGGCACCACCAGGAAACCACTAGTGGAGCTTACATAATCTTTATCAAGGAGGTATTGAGATTGAGTTATTGTAATCTCCACTACTCATGTTCTTGATAATCTCATCAAAGAGGTTGCCTAGTTGGAAGAGGAAGTATCTGTGCAAATGTGGGAGATTAACCTTTATCAAGAACATATTATCACAATTGCCAGTTTTTCCTTTTCCATATCCCTTCCACTAGTGGGCACTTCAGTGTTGATTCCTTTGGAGGAATTCAAAAGATCAGTGTCTATACCACGTAAGAGCTTGGAAGTTAGTGAAACAATCTCTTCAGTAAGGGTTGTGCTATTCGATCTTTAATTAAGATGAATAGAATCCTCTTATGGAAATGATTTTTGAGATTTATGACGCACAAAGGCCAGTTTTTTGAAGGGAGGTGATCTGGGATAAGTGCCTAGTTTGCCATACTTCTGTTTTTTCTTTTCCAGCCAGAATGCAGAACTCCAGTCAAATGCTAAAGACAAAAGTTTTCCAAGTAAAAGTAGAATATATTTTAGTTTTTGATAAAGGTGAACTCAAAAGCTGAAAATAAATGCTTTTGAGATATGGCTTGTCCTGTAGAATATGAATAATGTTTATATGTATAGTTTTTTGGAGATATGGCTTGTGTCTATTTTTTGGCTCCAAAATACAAAAGTCTGGATCAGTCACAAAACACATGAGAATTTTAAGTAAATGCAGAATTTGTTGTTAGCATCTGATAAAGGTGAACTCCAAAGCTCGAAATTCATGCTTCTAAATATGACTTGTTATATACGAAATAAATAACATTTTTAAATAAGTGTATCTATTAAGCTTATGTTTTACTAATTTATTAATTTAATAATTTGAAAATAAAAAATATGGTATTAATTGATCATAAATAATTTACCATAAATTATTTAAAATTATTATTTTTAAATTAAATAATTATAATTTAAAATAAATATTTATATTAAAAGTAAAATAAACATATAAAAATATTTTAAAAATAATTTAAATTATTAGACATTTTTTTAAGAAGAATAGTTAATATTATTCAAATAACTGTAATAACTAATTTTTTATTGTTGTGCAATTTTTTACTATTTCAACAATTATTGCTAATTCTATAACATTATTGATCAAATATAATATCACTTTTTGTATTAACAACACTTTTAATAGCAAGCTTTATCAAACACTACAATACTCTCAACTTACAGTTATTTTTTCTGAGAATCATTTTATAGCACTTTTGGCAACGCATAGCACAAGCACTATCAGTCCAAATAGTTCCTAAATGTGGGATTATGTGTAGGGGTTGGAGGACTGGGAATGATAAATAGTTGTATGGGACCAGTTTGTGGAGGTGGATAAGCAGAGAGTTGAACCCCTCCATCGAGAATATAGTGTCTATTGTTGCCAATAGGAAGAACATGAGTTTTTGGGTGGATAGTGGTGACGGTTGTCCTGTATGTGTTAGATGCCCCAATGTTCTTCTCTAGCCAAGGACATGAATGTGGCGATTAGTAATGTTATAGATATGGACTCTTCTGCCAATACAATTTGGAATATGCATTTTACTACATCCATAAATGATTAGGAGGTCTCTAAACATCTTGATTCAATGACTAAGTTCTCTAAGAGTCTACCTACATCTCTAGACATGACTATCGCATTTGGATAAATGGATCTAGGATGTTGTGTCTAGATACAGGTTTTCATCAACACATAAATCAATACATTTTGTTCCTGTACTCTTTGTAACAACTCTATCAAACAGTTAAAAGGCATTCTGTATTCAAGATGGTGAAAGAAAAAAAATGTCTTGCACCTGACGGTATCCATGGGCGGTAAAAAGTGGTTGATTAGCAATTTCCTTGCACATAAACTCCGCAGAGACACATAAAATCTGTCATTATATGAAGCCTACTGTTCCCAAAAAGAAAAGCCTCGCTCCCTCACAACTCTTCTAGTCTCTGCCTGTCGAAGAAAGTCTGTATGAAACTTCTTGGAGGCTGATGTTGTTTTATCAATTAACTGACTGCATTGACTATCCTTTAAATCCATCACACACTGTGCTGCAGTTTGTTTACCAGACATCCAATCTTGAAGCATCTCTTCTATCTTTGGTTCTGGCAATAAATGTTTCCCCTTCATCTCCATATAATATTTGTATGCTTCTTCCAACTTACCGTTAAAAAAGAGGCCATGTATCAGCACAATATAGGAGCTACGATCAGGACCAATCCCATTCTCACACAATTCATTCCACAACCTAAAGACATTATCAAATTGGCGCCACCGACAAAACTTTCTAATCAACATTATGTAGGTATCATTAACTGGCTCGCAGCCCGTCTTTCTCATTTTCTCCAACAGCCCAAACACCTCTTCTCCTGTCCTCAGGACACGCATGAAAGCATGATAAGTTAGAATAGTAGGGGAAAGTCCTCTCTGCAACATCTCATCAAAAACTTTACCAGCCTCATCTATTTTTCGTGCTTTACAAAGAGGCTTGATCAGTGAGTTATAAGTAACAATATTTGGAGCAATACCCTTCTCTTCCATTGTTTTCAGGAGATTGATAGCCTCTGTTACAAACCTACCTTTCGCAAGTGCATGAGTAACTGCATTATACACTTTCCTATCTGGTTCAATCATCAACTTCTTCATTTGGCTAAAAAGTTTAAGCACCTTATTTAGATTATTGGATTTTGAGTAGCAAGAAATGATACTTGCAAATGACACAACATCATGTTGAATACCTCTCTTCCCCATCTCCCTCCAAATTCTCTCTGCCTCACGTGGACTACCAATTATATTACACCATCCATTAAGTATTATATTAAAACTCTTGGTGTTAAAAGGATACACATCCTTGTTACAGAACATCAAGTGCTCAGCATCTTGCACATTCTTGTATCGACAAAGTGCAGATAATAGACTTTGAAACTCGTCAATTCCTACATCAAATTTAAACCTTTTATACGCATAAAAGGTGTTAATAGCACGTCCAACATCATGCACAGCACAATATCTCCTGATCATGATCAAAAGAGTCTGTGGAGTCAAAAGAGATTCACCTAATCTTCCCCTCCTCATTTCATCAATGACTGCCCATGCAGTATCAAACTTTCTCATCTTCCCCAGAATTGAGATCATCATGTGATATTCACGCAATGAATGATAATAACCTGGCTGCTTCTGAGCCCATAGAAAGAAAGTAAATGCTGTCTCCCAATCATTTCGAGCCCGTGAAAGAATCTCAGTTACCAGCTCTGATGAGGCTTTAACACTACATTGCTCAAGCCTGTTTTTCATCTCCACACGATTGTTCCCACATCCCTTCAGGATATCCCAAATGGTCTCCGCGTCCTGTGAACTTCCTCCATCCTTTAATCCGAATTGTTCAAAAACAGATTCGTCGACATCCTTGCTATCATCCCCATCCCCATCATCAGCATCACTATCAGTGTTGCAGCAGCTAGCAGTTTCTTTTGATTTCTCTACCTTTATGAAACTTGAGGTTTCAAGACTTGAGGTGGAGAAAGAAGAGAAGGAAAACGGCACGCCAAAGTCCAAGGAACTGCTAGAAGATGGTTCAACACTGGAATTTGATATAAGGGTCGGTTTAACATACCCTAATTTCAAATTGGAGTTGACTAAAACTGAAAAAAGCGATAGTCTTGATCGTATTGTACCGAATCTTCGCATTTCTAGAAACTAAACAAGCTTGCAGAAAGTAGAGTTTACGAATGGAACACAGAGCACGTAATATAAATAAACCCGACCCGACCCGGCCTACAACATAAACCCTAACCCTGACTTTTTTCCTTCAGCCGACCAATAAAAGGTCCATTTCAGGCGCTTATTCTCTTCAGTGACTGTTCACCATATATAAATCCTGTGATTTCTAGAACTACAAATCGGAAGACTGCAGGTTTGAAATGAAACTTCATTCTCTAAACACACACGATCTGATCAAAGCAGTTTTTTGGCTTTAGCAGATCGGTAATGCGTTATGATTCTCCTTCTCATTTCTTAATTTTTGTAATTTTAACGTCTTCTTTCATTTGGGATTGGTTCCGATCTGCCATTATTTACTTTCTTTCTTTATCTGAATTACAATGTTTAAAATTTAATGAACATTTCTCTTTCATGTTCGTTTTTCTGAAAAATAATGAGTTATGTTGCTTGCTTGCAGATGGCTTGGGTTTAAGCAGGCAGAGGAGAATCTGTTGTTTATATATACTTCATATATTCACACATGTTATACAGTTCAATATCACATGAACAGATGAATGATCAGTTTGATTTGATATTTATTTTCAATTTGGTATATTCCTTTAATCTGACTTGGACATGACTACGCAAAAAAAGAAAAAAACCAAGAACAGATGCCAATAATTTCTTATGCTTTTCATGTGCGTAACCATTGGATGAAAGGGCTGTAGCCAAGTCCACTGATTGATAAAGATTGTCTCGTGTAAATTAGAACCGGGATTGAGAATTGGGTGCCCTTTAACTTGAAATGGCCAAAAGGGCTGTTGCCAAATCCACTGATTGATGAAGATTGTCTCGTGTAAATTAGAACCAGGATTGAGAATTGGGTACTCTTTCACTTGAAATGGCCAAAAGGGCTGTAGCCAAATGCATGAAAGGATCGAGAAGCTAATCGACCAGTGGTTGTGATCAGTTGACCTCATTGTCTCACACAGCTTCTTGTACAACAAAAACATACATTTGGTATTTTGAGAAATGATATGATGAATAACATATACTTCCCTATTGGTTTGATTGCAGAATGATGGCACTGACCAGGTATTAGCTCTATCCGATCATTTTCTCAATCTTTTTGTCAAATGATTTAAACCCAATTTTCTTTTTCTTTTCTCTCCTTGATTCCTCTCATGGCTTTTTCCTCAAAAGATAAGTTGTGTTTAAAGATGAATTATTTTCTGATCATGCATCGAGATGAATACAATATTTGTAATGGACCAACTTCCAAATGTAATTTTTGTATGGATGAGAATTGAGAGCTGTTTGGGTTGTTTTAGCTACTTTTTTTCTATGCATAGAAGCACTTTCAAAAATGTAGATATTTGAATTGGAATTTCATGTGAATGATGTAGTAGTTATCAAGTTTGAGTATGAAGAAATAAAAATACTATGAAAAGGATATATCGTTATTCTATCTCATGAAGTTTTGTTTAAGCTTTTGTATATTCTTAGTTTATTTTTAAATAATAATTATTAATATATAAAATTTAGATATACTATTAAATTTAGATACAAAGTGTGAAAAGTTTATTGACATCAAGGAGATGCCAACCTGTGTATATAAAGTAATACAAGACTGAGTCGACTTTTTCTAATTCTTCTAAGAACTCCTCCATTTTTTGTTATAATGGGTTTGCTTTAGACATGAATCATGAAGTTGCCTTGGATAGATTGAATGAAGGATATACATCTAAAGCAGCTCTAAAACAACATGCAAATAATCTGACTTCAATCTTTAAATAGCAGAACAGAACATGAAAATAATAAAGAATAGAATTGATTTGATAATTGATAAAGAATGTCTATCTCTTACGAAGATTTTTCTTTTCAAAGTAACAGAGATAATGCAGACCAAAAAGAATTATAGAAGTAAAACAAAATGTAATAGTGTTGTTCTGTCTGCTCTCAATGACTAATTGAAGAATAACTAAAGTCACTCTGTCAAAATTATAAATTGGAGCAGCATTTTGAAAACATAATTACAATGAACATAAATCGAATTACTTCCTCTCATTATTCCGACGATGTCAAGCATATCTTGGGTGCTTCCGGGTTCATGCAAGTATTGACCTCTCAAATGTTATTACCACTAGGGCTTCGCTTGAAAACTGCAGTTGTTACATTCGTTCAATTTTGCATTCATGAAGATACAGCCTCTATGGCGCTGCCCAGCGGCCATGCAGCTTCAGCAAAGAATTTATTGTATGGAACTTTCTTCACCAGTGTAATCTCTTGCCATGGATCAAGTCCTGTCCACAAGAACCACCAGAAAGGAACATGAACATATCAGATTCCTGCTGTGCACTTTTCAACTGTTTATGAGATTCTGTATATTTACATTATTTGTTAAACCATAATCAGAGCTTACCAAATC